ACCTAGTTGATGTCATCATTTACCCAGAATGCTTCGCATGTAAACAAAATGGCTCCATCCGTGTTAAAATATATATTTTTTAAATTTACAAAATTAAACAGCCTACAGTATTTTTACAGTCTTTATTTTACAGTTAAAATAAATGCTTATCAAATAAAGTTTAATGTTACAACTAATCAGGGATCCCTTTAAGAACAAATCTGTACAAACGGTTCTGACATGAGGACCATTGAGCTCAACTTTGGTGTGGTAGTAGATGAGAGTCATCCTCAAAACATATTCCAAACTCTGTCGGATCATCCAAGATGTTGGCCATGTTTCTTTCTGTATTTTCTCTTTTTGCTGCCACGCACTTTAGACAAAACCACAGACCACAGTTATGTGTTCATATTAACTTTATCTAATATTTTCTGCTCCAGGTCTCTGAGTCTGACTGTCTTTTAAAGCTCCGGTATAAAATTTCCAGTTTTATGTAAAAAAAAAGGAAAGAAAGAAAGAATTTCACACTGAATTGACTGTAACTTTTAACATATTCCCACGTGATTTGTATAAAGAGGACCACTGAGCCTTCAAATTTACTTCAGATCAACTCCCAAACGTCTCGAATCCCAACCCTGGAGTATATTTTCACACAGAATAAAAACAGCCAAGCGTGTCTTTTTAAAGGAAAAGAAAAAGAGCATGGCAGGAAAGTTATGTTTTCTCAGCACCACGTGTTGTTTTACTGTTGGCTTCTAAACCTGAGAGCCTATTATTTTCTTTATTTTTTAGGAATATATTATTTATACAGCACCAAGTATCAATAAAAATCATCTCAGGCAACCAAGATGATGGATATTTTGAAAATAAACATGAATGAATCCATAAACATCTAAGATTTCAGTCATTTCTTTTTATCTTTTCAGCCACGTATGATTGCTGTGGAGGTTATTTGCATATTTTAATTACATCAACATGTTTAGCCTGTTTAATTACAGTTTAATCGGAAAACTCCATCCATTATCTGCGGATTTAGTTGTGAGCGCTGCATCTGTTCAGCTGCTTGGTGTCTCTCAGCATCACAGATATTTTCTGTCTGAATTTGAAAGTTTCGACACTTCAAACTTCGTAGTTATTTTTCRTGGTTATCTTCAAACCGTCGGTTCTTCGGCTGCAGACAGAGTCAGCGGATGATTCATGGTGCCTCCAGCGTCGTCGCTGTTCTGTTTGATGCTGACGTGTCTGTGTGAATGTGCTCGCTGCAGGAGCTGGAGGCTGAGGCCAGGTTCTCGGAGGCAGAGCATCACTTCCTGCAGGCTGGAGAGTGGAAAGCAGCCGTGCACATGTACAGAGCCCATGACATGTGGGAGGAAGCGCACACGGTGTGTCTCGTTCAACCTCTTTGCTCTCTGGTTGAACTTCCGAAGCCACTGAAAGAACTCGACCTGAATGTGAAACKTATTTATAAATGTGTTTGGATTTTACAGTGATTGTGGTTTTAATGACAAACATTTAAGCAGTGGTGGGCACATTTTTTCTCAAATTTATTAGTTAGAAACTGTTTTAGAAGCACCACACTATATTCATAGTTTTCCTTTTTACGTATTGACTTTTATAATCATTGTTTAACTATTATGTCTTGATTAAAATAGTTTAGATACATGTCCGAAACATTTTCACAACACAAAAAAACATTTATAAAACATTAGGTGTGAATTGCCTGTATGCCACGGACATCCGGTCCAGTACTTGATGCCACTCCCAACACTTCCGGTACACGGTGAATACAGTGTTAGCGAAAGATTTTTTCACCCGACAACGACTCTTAATGATCTCCACGGTACAGAATTATCATATTACATGTACCAACATTAACACAGGACACGTACAGGTCCAGCCAAGTGGAAAAAATCACTCCAAAGTGGATTAAAGACATAAAAACAAAGGAAAGACATTCTTGTTCCTTGGCTGCTGGTTCTGTGATTTTTTTCACGCAGAGCTGTGACACTTATATTGTTGGAAAGAGCAGAGTCTGGGCTTTAAATTGATGGGCTACTTGTGTAGTTTGGATCGTTTTCCCCGACGTTAGTGAACTGAAAACGTAATGATTTTAGGAGGAGGGGGGCGCGCTCGTCGCTCGGGTTTAGTCTACGCTGTAATATACACTCTAACAAGGTTTTACTTTTGCATAACAAAGTTGCCTAAAAACATTTCCTACTCTGTATAACACAAACACACACACACACACACCTACCTTTGTACCAGCTGCTGTGTTAGCTTCCTGTTAGCTGTGAGGAGGTCTTTCCTCTCTCGTCTTGGCAGTAAAAGGGGATAAATGTACATTTCCCTTTTGCAACCTCCATCTTCTCATTTCTGATGCTTTGGAACACACTGTTGGAATGACTGGATGTTTATATGTGAAATATTAACTGGTTTAGCTTCTGACAATTTTTTAATATAACTTTTTTATTATGTTTTATTTTAATTGCTAGCAGATCTAAGTTAGTGTAGTTAGTAAGTAAGCTAATTAGTGAAGCTAATATTTTGTTATCTGTGCCCAACACTGCATTTAGGCCCAAGTTATTCAATATTTGACTCATTTTGTAAGTTTGACACTCAGTTTTAAGACGTTAAAAGACTAAAAGTTTTAACATATGTTTAAAAAAACATTTCTAAAACCAGCGAGAGGGTTAGTAACAAGGTTCAGATAAACTGACATCTTTAGCTTCTGCTCAAAGTGCAGATGTTTGTCGTTTGTTGGTGTTCATCAGGTGGCACATAGCCACGGAGGTGCTGGAGCKCAGAAGCAGGTAGCCTACCTGTGGGCCCGGAGTCTGGGAGGAGAGGCTGCTGTCAAGCTGCTCAGCAAGTTCCACCTGCTGGACTACGCCATCGAGACGGCCGCAAATAACCTGTGAGCGCCGTGACAACACCGACCGAACAAAAACACATTGACTGAGTGAGAATTACTCTTTTTGTTCAGCGTGATTTCATTTTTCCTCTTCTTCTCAGCTCATTTGACTTTGCCTTTGACTTGGCTCGCCTCTCCACAAAGAAAAAGGTTCCTGAGATCCACCTGAAGTATGCCCTGTACCTGGAGGATGAGGTAGGTCCACCAGATTTAGTTATCAGTCAAACTAAATTTGCCAGTAGTTTTATTTATCCAAGCAGCCGTCAAGAAGGCAGAGGTTTTCTTTATAACACTGATGCGATTACAAAACGATGTTTACTGTTTTGTAATAAAGCCGAGCTCATTAAAACCAGAATTTGTCTTTATTAAGCACACGAGAAAGTCAGCTCGTATCAGAACAAAGCTCCAACAGTCTGACAAGCTGCTCTTATTATCATTGTTGTAAATTCGATCAGCCACTAATGCTGCTCAGTGACATTATTACCGCCGAGTTTCAGCTCATCCTTTCTGCCACCGAGAGCGTTAATCCTTAATTCTGACATGTTTCATCTTCACAGGGAAGGTTTCCTGAGGCTGAAGTCGAGTTCATTAAAGCTGGAAAACCCAAAGAAGCTGTGTCCATGTGAGTGCCTCATATTAACACGTTTAGCTCCATGGATTTTACCTGGAGAAGCTTTGATTTGGCTAATTATCTCACTGWACTGCAACTGGTGGGACTCAAAATTGAGAGAAAATAGGTGAAATTTTGTGTATTTGTYTTTGCAGTCTCACTTTTGGGGAGTTTTGTGGGAGGAGTTTGTCTTAATTATTTTAGRTGGGGTTTGAAGAAGCCTAGGGGAGCTGGGATGATGTGTAGCTCGATCAAAATGGCCAGAAAGCACCTATTTTGTTAAATACTGTATATAAATATTAATTTCATTTGTAACTCGAGACAGGAAGTCAATAAATGATATTTATTTACAATAATTTTACTATTACTATTACTTCATCTTTAAATTCCCTAGCAAGACAAGTCAACCTGACCAATCACAGTTAGGACAAACTCCACCCACTTCAAAAAACTCTACCAATCACTGATAAAACTAACTCTGCCCACACAATAGAACTCTGCCGATCACGGCTAGGACAAACTCCGCCTACATAGACAAACTGCCAATCCCAGCTAGGACAAACTCCGCCTACATAGACAAACTGCCAATCCCAGCTAGGACAAACTCCGCCTACATCAAAAAACTGCCAATCACAGCTTGGACAAACTCTGCCCACATAGAAAAACTTTGTCAATCCCAGCTAGGACAAACTCCGCCTACATCTAAAAACTGCCAATCCCAGCTAGGATAAACTCCGCCTACATCAAAAAATTGCCAATCAGGGCTAGAACAAACTCCGCCCACATCGAAAAAACTTTGCCAATCCCAGCTAGAACAAACTCCGCCCACATCGAAAAAGTTTGCCAATCCCAGCTTGGACAAACTCCACTCACATCTAAAAACTGCCAATCACTGTTAGGACAAACTCCGCCTACATTTAAAAACTGCCAATCACTGTTAGGACAAACTCCACTCACATCTAAAAACTGCCAATCACTGTTAGGACAAACTCCACTCACATCTAAAAACTGCCAATCACTGTTAGGACAAACTCCGTCTACATCGAAAAAGTTTGCCAATCCCAGCTTGGACAAACTCGACCTACATTGAAAAACTGCCAATCACTGTTAGGACAAACTCCGCCTACATTGAAAAACTGCCAATCACTGTTAGGACAAACTCCGGCCACATCAAAAAACTGACAATCACGGTTAGGACAAACTCCACCCACATCAAAAAACTGCCAATCACGGCTAGTAAAAACTCCGCCCACATAAAAAACTTCCAATCACGGCTAGGACGAACTCCGCCCCCACATATGAAAACTTTGCCAATCCCAGCTAGGATAAACTCCGGCTATATCGAAAAACTGCCAATCCCAGCTGGGACAAACTCCGCCTACATCGAAAAACTGCCAATCACGGCYAGAACAAACTCTGCCCACATCGAAAAACTTTTACAATCCCAGCTACAGCAAACTCCGCCTACATCGAAAAACTGCCAATCATGGCTAGGAAAAACTCAGCCCACATAAAAAAACTTCCAATCACGGCTAGGACTAACTTAGCCCACACAGACAGGAAACTCCCCCTTTGTACTGCAGAGACCCCTTGCAACATTTTAATTTTAGTTCTTGTTTTGGTACGCATTTTTCCTAAAATAAGAGTTTGACCACCACTGAAGTAAAAGATTATAAACTTTCAAATTTTATGCCATTTAATATAATTTATGCGCACTTTTCAAACTACTAATCACATTCTTTGAAGCTCAACTTAATGACATTGTGTCTCATGTTGAATCTGAAGTAAAGTTTGTGTAAAATGCAGAAAAAAATTATTTAAAGGGACTGTTTTTAGTTATGGCCTCCGTGGGAATGTGTGTGATCTGTTGTAGGTACGTCCACCACAAGGACTGGGCGAGCGCGCAGAGGGTGGCCGAGAACCACGATCCGGAGAGCGTTTCTGAGGTTCTGGTTGGTCAAGCCGAGTCCTGCTTCGAACAGAAGGAGTTCCAGAAATCTGAAGCCTTCCTTCTGCGAGCGCAGAGACCTGAACTGGCTGTTAAACTTTACAAGGTCACACCTGCAGTCTGAGCACAGACATTTCCTTTGTTTTTACCTCACTCTCTTCATTTTCTATTTAAACTGGGATGTTTTGGGAGAAGTGTAAAATTTTGAGCCTCACGTTTTGATGTAAATTCTCTGTACCACGTCAGAATGCAGACATGTGGAGTGACGCCATGAGAATCTGTAAGGAGTATCTTCCCAGCAAACTGTCGTTGCTGCAAGAGGAGTACGAGAGGGAGACGTCCAAAAAGGGAGTTAGGTGAGATTTATCCACAAAYAGGTTTAACACTTTGTACTTCCTGTCGCTTAAATTATATTTTATCATGTTTAAATGAAAAATAAAAACAAAAACCGAAGCTGCATTTCATCATATTTATTCTGTAAACCTTCTTAAACCTACTGAAATCAGCACCAACATTGTGCAGCCTCCCCTCAGCAGCCCGCCGTCATAATTTATGCACAAATAGTTCGTTTGATGCTTTATTAAAACGCAGCTCGCATGCTTTCTGAAACCCGAAACTCCCAACGAGGAACAGCTCGTTAGCGAGCGAAGCAGCAGCCTTCAGCTCTCATCCTCCTCCTGTTGCTTTAATGACCTGTGGGAGAAAACATCAAAAGTTACCAACGGAGACGGATGAAAATCGAGGGGGAAAGAGGGAAAAGAAGCTGCGAGTCTCCCCTTTTATTTCAGGCATCTGTGAAAGCATCATGGAAGGAAGCGTGTTGTTAATCTCACTGATGATATGAAGATTAGAACTTGTTTACAGGAGGTGAATATTTAAAATTGTTSTGAAGATGGACTGTTGACGTGATGTTTACCTGACTGCTCAGTAAAACCGTGGAGAAATGAAGCCAAAAAGAGTTTTTTTTGTTGTTGCGTTGTTTCTTTTTATACAGACTCCAGCTGCTGTACAAATACGTGTCACTGTTGAGTCTTTTATCAAATCGGAGAAGAAGGTTTTTATGAAAAGAAATAAAAAGAAGAGAAAGGTGCTGCTGCAGACAGGAGCACTGGCAAATCAGTGCTTCTTTGATTTCCTGCAGGAAAATGTTTTTTCCTTTTTTATGTTTACTGTGATTGTTTTCTCTGCACAAAATCTGTGTAAAGTATCATTTTATTAATTTAATTATTTATTTATTTATTTTGAAGGTGGGAGGTATTTAA